GCTGCGCCTTGACGCGCGTCAACCATTGACTTTGCATGTAAACTCGCTGCTTCTGTCGCGCCAGCTGCGCCCGGTGTCAACGCAGCATTAGCCTTCAAATAAGAACTATAGGCATCTGTAATATGAACTACTACCTTTGGCCCTCAGAAGCACTCATTTACTATGAAGTGATAGTTGTTTTCTAGTGATAGTTTTCCAAACCAAAAGAAAGACACTTGCCTTCACGGAGATTCCGTCTATTTCCGTATGGGTGCCATGCATTTCATGACTTAAAGTTGCTTAAACATTACTTTATTGCGAAAGCCAAACAAAGTCGTAGACCATTTAGAGCCAAAAAACACATTATCATACTTACCAAAAAAAAGAAAACAGTTGCTGTCACTGTGCAGTTTTGGTTTTAATCACTTGTTTTAAACCAGGGGTGCTCAAGTCCATTCCTCAAGAGCTACTATCCTGCAACTTTTTGATGCAACCATTTTTAACACACCTGAATCAAATGAGTGGCTCGTTACCATGCCTCTGTTGGGCTAAATGAGGTTAGATTCAGGTGTGCAAGAGAAGAGATGCATCTAAAAGTTACAGGATGGTAGCTCTTGAGGACTGGACTTGGGCACCCCTGTTTTAAACAGTTGGGGAATCACTGCTCTGTGTAAAAAAAATTAAGGCCATTTGTTTTTTGTAGGACAGGGAAGGTCTGAATTCATCAGGATTATTTACATTAATAAATCAAGGGAAATGCCACTTTGTGCATGATTTTGAAAAAGGAATAGCATTAAAGCAAAGTTAAAAAGAATGATTTTGGGTGATATAGGTCATTTAATGAATTTCTAAGTACTATTTTGCATAATTAACTGATCATTTTCCTCTAATTTTTTACAGACATTTCTCTACCTTGCCTTGTGCGGAGGCTTCCCGCTTGTACTCATCTCGCTAGCTTGAGTCTATGGCGTAATTTCTTTCTTCACAAAGGGCCATCTCCACAACAAGACCACAGCTCTCCATTCGGTACCATTAAAAGAAAGATTTCCTTAGCACAGAGATGTAAGTGTAGTTGACAAAAGGCACATCACACCTAGTAAACTGGAAGCATAAAGGTCACTACAACATTACTGGAAAGGGTTCTGCTTCACACTTGCTTGTTTGCATTTTTTTTACTGTTACAAGGTATATAAAAAAAATGTGTGATACCTCTTATATGTAGTGCATAACTTTGTGGGAACTGTTCCACTTACTTGAAAAATATTTAATAGGTTAATTTACCATTTCCGGAGGTTCACCAAGACCTTGGCACTAAATCATTACCAGTATATATTACGATAGACAGCTGATCAATATCAATAGAAAGTATGTCCAAGTAGATTTTCGGTCTGAAACTCCGATCCAGGGCTACATGGTATTCTGTGGAATACAGACAGAGGAGCATGGTTGGTGGTCAGTTTGACCTAATTTTAAAAGTTAAAATAATAACTGGCCTCACCAAATTGCCAAAAATGCCTGAAAAAGCATATATTATATTAAACGCTGTTCTTTAACCCTGGGGAGGGTCTAGCCTGCCATATAAAACCATTGTTATGATAAATAATAGCCTTACTGTGGCAGTAATAGGCTGCAAATGTGGAAGCACCATATACATGCTGCATATGGGACGTGACAGATAACCGGTTAAAGATTACATTCATACTGGGTTAACGTTACAATTTTAATGTGGCCTTCTTCTCCCTCAGGCTTTATTTCGAATAGATAAAGAAAAAAGCAAAAAATGATCGATATTGACTGATATGACAGGCTTATATCGTAACACATTTTTAGCCATATTGCACAGCCCTAGGTTGACCTAGGAAGAACAGCTGCTGGCTGAAGCTTCATTTTTTGGCAAGCGTACATGAAGGTCTTCAGTCTTTTAAGATGTTGTTGCAAAACTTGTCAACTTAGCATGACTAGTTGCAAACTTTAAAAATGTGATTTGAATTTTCAGAAGATCCAACTGTTGTAACCTTCATGTATAATGTTAAATTCTAACGTTGTAGTGCCAGCACTTGTTGTCCTCCCACTTTTATTACTGTTTTAGGTTAGAAATTTAAAGGTGAAAAAAGATTTATTACTTATGGATACTTTAGAATATGCAAAGAAAATCTTAATTAAACTTAAGGGTGTGATGACTGAAATTATCATGATAAAAGTGGTGCATTAATGCTTTACCTTAAATCGTTCTTTCAAGAGCGCCCATTTTATTTTCTGTGTTTTGTACTTAAAGTGCATTTCTGAATGATGTAAATAAAATATCACAGATGAAGGGTTGGTGTAAAATGATTTATTTTCTTGTACTGTTTTGCTGATTAAATATAATAAAGTAAACACATGGGTAAAAACTGAACACCTCCGCATCTTTCAACTGGCTAGCCTCTAAATGTTATTCCAAGGGTTTGCCTCTTACATTGCCTTTGTAGCAGAAAGCAGATGGAAACAGAGGCGTTTGTTTACTTCAGGCCTAATGGGCACTTTGCACAAAACATTTGATTCTGGCGTAATGAACCAAACAAGATTAGAGGAGAAAGTAAGTCGGCCCACAGAGGGCAACTTTGTTTCTCCTTTTATTTTGACGATCAGAGGAACATTAAGAGGTTCAGTTCAGATGATTAAAAAGATATTGAATTAAAAAAAATAGTTCAGGAGTATTTCACCCAACCTTATAAGTTGCCTTACCTTTGACCTTTACATATATTGTTACTTAACAACCATGCATGTTAATTTGTTAAGTAATGCATTTTTGTAAATGTACATATAAATATGTAAATAACTTGTATCTACAAATGAAACCCTAATCCTGAAAAGTTTAGCTTTCATTTTTGTTAAGCCCTCTGTACTCCCATACTGCTACACGTCATCAATTACCTTCAGAGGATCTTCATGAATAATTAGCCACAGATATCTTGTAGTCTTAGAGACCTTGTTCAAAGTATTGTCCATATAAGTTCAGTAGCATGACCATTCAAAGTGCAATACCTGAGAAAAAAACTACATTGGAGTGGCATAAAGGAAGTAATCAAAGAAAAATGAATCATTGAAATAAGATCATTATATTACAATCTGAAAAACTCACACAAAGAGATAGGACAATTAGGAGAAATTTATTGATACAAATACTTTGTCTTCGGCGCTTAGACCTTGGCAGGAAACATAGCGCTTAATTTTGATAGATATGCATGAACAGGAGCAAAGAATATGGCTGTTTCTACCACATTCCTGAAACTGGCGGTGGAGTGGAGATAGATGAAGTTGGTCAGTCTGTAGACTGCTGGTCTGTAGATGTAATGTCATCTTTAAAATGATAGAGCAGCCTTTAACACCAGAGGCCTACTTCATAAAACCAATATAAGTGGTTTAACTAGGCTTCAACTTGATCTCATAGAAGAAGTAGCACATCGGCCACCATGAGGACTTATTCTGTGCAAGCTTACTTAATCTTGCTACTTTTTCTGTTCACACTGATTAGAAACCAATAAGTTTTGTCAGTGAATTCATTTTTCTGTGCATTATAGTATTTTTTTACCTGAAAAACCACTGATACATACTGTTTTAGTTTGTTACTATGATTAACTTTATAATTAGCTATGTGGACATTGTTACTGTTTAATTATGTTTAGACGGTAATTGTTCTTAACAGAAGGGTCTCTGACAGACTGTTGCCACATTGAATGGATCAGGAAAATGTTTAATAAAGCATTATCCTAAAAGTCGAACTATGTAAGTTGTTGCAAACATGTGTCTAACTTAAATAAGGTGAACATAGTTGACATTTCCCAACAGTGACCTGCATGATGGGGGGAGTGGCAGCCTATTAGTTAGGGCATAGAGCTTGGAATCCAGAGGTTCTGAGTTCAAGACCCACTGCCATAGACTGGCACTCTGGGTCTTTGAGCAAGACCTTTAACTCCGCACTGCTCCAGGGGCACAGTGGCAGCTCACTGCTCCTCAAGGGGATGGGTTAAATGAAGAGAGTTCATTTCATTGTCCTTTAATTGTGACAGTGTAATGACAATAAAAGCTGGAAAGAACAAAAAAAGCATTACTACTGGCCTGCGGTTCTAATCAGCTTGGTCCCAAAAATTCAGCATCACACAGAATTTTTGTCTTTGCGGTACATTTGTACTAGCTGTGCTTTTCTAGCCTCGTGAGACCATCCTGATCTCGCGAGCTTTCAAG